GTGCCGAGGTCTCCATGGCCTCGGTTAGTCTATAAGGTATTACCTTCGACGTGCTCACACTACCCAAAGGTTTTGTAACCCGGATAGAATTACTATGCTTACAGTCGACGTGTTTGTAATACCTATGGGATTACTACAATACTTAAGTTAACGTGAAAAATAAAAAAACCAATGTTAAAATATTATTAAAAACTATGTCGTCATCGAAGGAAATGTTCTCTGTAGCCATGATTTTTTTGATATCCTTTTGGGCTGACCATTCAGGAGAGCTATGGTTTGTGGTGACTTGAGGAAGTTTGGAAACGCCGCAATGACTGCACCTAAGGTCACTGCGACAGAACTTTTGAGTGTGACCGTATTGAAGACAACGATTACATTGAATAAGAGAGCGAATGCTGGGTTTGACGTCGAAAATCACATTATAGATTGAAATGTGTTGGGGTAGTTTGGGTGACAAGAACTTGAATTCAACGATGCGTGTTGATACAATGTTGCCATCTTTTTTGACAGAAATGCGTTTAAAGCTTGCGATGGGGAAACATGATGGCACTCCATCCAAAAAATCGTCTTTCAAAACGTCGGAATCTAGTCTTATAATGCCAAAAGATAAAATGAGGTTCGATGGAATAGTAGCTGTGAAGCCACATTCCAATAAAACGTCTGAAGTCAAACAAAGATTGGCGTTCGTTATCGAATCAAAGCTAATCTTGATTTTTTTTGAACCAGTTGGCTTGATATTTGTTATACCGGTAAAATGAGTAGAGATAATTTGGCTGCCATAATTGGGTGCCAATTTTCCAAATTTTTTGTTCAAATCAATGCAATCAACAAGAATCACGACAGGGCCGTTATAATCAGGTGAGAAGGTCTGTTGTATGCATTGAGACGACATATTTATATAATTTGGTAAATCAATGGTGTGTATAGAAGTGGCAATTTGTGTAGAGTTAACGTCCGGTAAGGAATTTGATATATAGTCATTAAGGTTATTAGTAGATAAACCGTTATTAATGGCCGAATCTGCCGACGAATTGTTGTCCGTAATATAATTGAAGGCTGATTGCGAAGTATTTAAAATTGGAGTATTATTGTATTATTAATAATCTGTTGAAGTCCGAGGGAAGGGGGAGTAAGCAGATTGGATTTTGACTTACGTAAATTCTTTTTTGAGGTGACGGTGATGAAGTTTGAATCCGATGTACGATTAGTAGTCAAGGAAGGCATGATTTTATTTGGAGCAGGTGATTTACCCGCGCGCGAGTCGCCGCCCGAAGACGATGACATTTTTATGTAATTTATTACACTAACGATTAGATAACGATAATATGCTGCGATAACTATGACGGAAAGAACAACCAATCGCTACAAAAGCTGAAACACGACTAACATAATGACTTATCAAGAAAAAAAAAAAATAAAAACAAATTCGTCAAATATTAAAACTCACTCACGTGCAGGTCCCCCACATACATTTTTCAACTACGGTACTGTAAATAAATCCGGGCCCTCAATTATTAATGTATATTAGTATAATAGTATATATAGTTATTTTAATATAAAATCTAACATTTAATTTTAATTTGTACAAAAGGTACCTAAAATATTGGGTACACAGCTTGTTTCAATGTTATACCTCTATAAAATAAAGTTTAAACATTTATACACTAATTTACTGCAGTTTAATATAAACATTTTTATAAAATTATTGATTACATACTTTTGTATTATTATATTATTACATTAATAAGTAAATTGAATCGCTTATTTCAGAAACCCCTTAAGTACAGAAATTTAAACATTCGAGAAATTAATAAAAACTTCGCATTTTCCTAAAAAATTTTTTTTTTCATTTCTGGAAGTAGAGAAAGGTTCTATACATAACATCGAACATACACATATAATCATATACTCTCCAAAGTTAAAGGGAAAGGGTAAATTTAAACCCTTTCCCTTTGCAGTTATGGTGTTTCTGCAATAAAATACATTTACAACAATAATTTTCTAGTTTTAAGGTAATAATAAGTTTAATTTGAGGAAAAATTAACAAAGTAGACTTTTAACAAACTATTAAATATTAAATTATTACAAATAGATGTTTAAGATATCAAAAAAATATATTTTACGCAAATTAAAATGTTTTAATTTATTATTACTGTTCTTCATATTCTGATTCGTCAATTTCTTCCTCCTGAGGTAATGTTGGCCAGCTCAAAATAATGTTATAGAAATCTGAATAAGATTATAAGATTAATAAGAAGTAAGTAATAAGTTTTGATTAAGTATTGTAACTACCATCTATTAATAATAAATAAACAAAGTGATCTTGATTAATAACCCATAAAAAATTAACATTTACAGTTCGATTTACAACATTAATTAGTAAAAACTGGGAAAGAGAGCGCCGCGCTCATACGCACCTAACAGTGTTACAAATATACACGCGCCTACTGACGGGTTAATGATGTGCTGCAAATAATTATGTGTGATACTGTTGTGAACCCAATTAAAATAATTAGTATCACCTGATGATAAGCCGCGACCATTGAAAGTCTCATTTGGTTCTTCGGTGGAAACGTTTGATATTAAAAATAAGGTCTAATGTATACGTTTTTAACAAAAATGTTGTTAAAATTGTAAATAAAAAAACTCCGGCGCAAATGGGTTAACGTATTTTGTAGTTTCTCCAAATGAGCCTTCGATAAAAATAATTCCTTTAGCTCTTGTAACTGGCGGTTCGCACCGACGAAGTTGGTGGCATTATTAGAATAGATATCTAAACATATACCGCGACGGTCGAAAAAGCGATTGAGCGCGTTTAAGAATGCTTCAGTCGTTAAACTGCTTACGAGCTCAATATGTATAGCTTTAGTTACAAAACAAACCCATACGCATATATACGCCTTATCGATAGATTTACGTCGCAAACAAGACCTTACATAAACTGGTCCGGCGAAATCGACACCACACTTGGAGAATGCCCTCGCTGGTTCTACTCGACTCTTCGGTAAATCGCCCATAATTGGCTGTACCACTATCGGTTTGTATTTAAAACATTTAACGCATTGTCTCGTAACCTTACGTGCTATATTACGACCGTTCAAAGGCCAATATTTGAGCCGTATACGCGCCAACATTACCTGTGGTCCACCGTGTAATGTTATTTCGTGTTCGTTAAAAAACACGAGTCGTGTGAAATTACTGTTTGGCGGTAACAAAATAGGGTGTTTTTGAAAAACATCAATCATATCAGAATTTTTTAACCGACCACCTACTCTCAGTAGGCCGTTTTCATCTACGAATGGTTTGAGACGTAGTAGTCGACTGTTGGAGCTTATTGGTTCTGACTTAGATAATTTGATTAATTCTTCTTGCCATATATTTTTTTGTACTAATTTAACTGCCACCATATTAGCGTTATTTATCTCTTCTCGCTGAATCTGTCCGATCTTTTTCTCAGTGTTCTGTCTCGCGTTATGTACAAACCGTAAACAGTAGGCAATTACGCGCAACAATTTCGATAAATTTGAAAATTTATTCAGAATAGTTATGTCACAAGTTATCAACATAACTGTTCTAAACGTGGTAGCGTAATTGTTTTCAATGGAGCCACACGTGATTTGGCGCATATTAAGTTGGTCGTTATAGTGCCATCTTTATTTTATGTGCGTATATAAAGACACGCCCCGTACGCGCTAATAGACGCATCCGCGAACCCATGTATTTGCACACTACAATTTTTACTTGTGTACAAAATACACTTAGCCGAGAAAAACCGGTCCGGTTTATGCGATATTGCGTTTTCTCGGCTCTTCTAGAATCTTCTAATCGACACCACCATCCCCCGCACTAACGACCTGTTATCGCTACTCCGAGCACCGGGCCGTCGGAACATTGCGATGCAAGTCAGTGTCGTGCGTCCTCTCGCGCGGTGAGCAGTACACCGTCGCTGTACTGACTGTCTGCCTGCACCTGCCGTCGGAGTCACATCTTGCGACCTTGTGTGTCGACGACTCGTCACGGCGCGGCAGTTTTTGCGGTGTTGGTGCACAAGTGTGTGCATCGCGTACCTACCAGGGTTTGTGTCGGTTGACCACCCGTTTTTGGCTGATTAGCCGATATATCCACCAGTCGCGAGTGGTTTTTGGATCCACGTCGTTGTCAGGGATCGCTGTTGGCTGGAGCGTGTTGCTGGTTGTTGGTCTGAATTCGAGGAAGCTGCCGTCGTTGTCGCGGGTCAGGTCGCATTTTTTAGTATTATATTAATTGTGTAATTGCCGTTTGGGCTGTTTATGTATTATTATTATTATTACTATTATTATTTATATTTTTTTACTATTTCCCCACCCCTGGGCGCCCACTCCCACTGTTGTTGTATACATTTAATGATATTTCTGTGAATATTACGTCGGCGCGGTTTAGCCCGTAATTTATACTGAACCGTATATTTTTGTTCTTATTATTTGTGTTATATTGGTCACCTTGTCCTGTCCCGTTTAATTATAGTTTATAAGAATAAGAAGCCAAACCACGAAAGCAGACAAGGGTTAATTCCCACGTAAAAGGAGGTTGTCTGCATTGGTAAGTTCTTTTTTTATCCTCTTTTTACAACTTGAATCGGTTATTAAACGGTTTATAACTAACGAATTTATTGAATCCAAGTCCTCGCGATTTTTTCTCCACTCATTCAACAGATCCGTGGGTAGTGGTTCGTCCCAATCAACGCTAAGTTGCCATAATTTTTGCATAACTAACTTTAGGCGAACTGTTATTGGATTTATCAGCCCTAGTGGATCGAAAATTGACGCGATTTCTGCTAGCACGTTTCGCTTTGTAGCGCGTATATTTAACTGATATTTCTCGACTTTATATTGATACGAGTCGTTTTCTTGGTTCCAAAAAATACCCAAAAGTTTCTTAATTTTTTGCTTATCGATTGATGAATTCTTACTGTCGAGTTTATCATCTATCGTGGATAATCCACGTAATAATTCTGGTGCATTACTTGACCACTTGCTTAATTCAAATCCAGCACTATTTAATACTGTTATAATATCATCACGTATATTTATTGCTTCTTTTTTCGTACCGGCGCCGCTCAACAAGTCGTCCATGTAGAAATCTTGTCCGATCGCACGGCACGCGGCCGGGTAACGATCATACATTTCTGTCGAAAGTTTTTGGAGACAACCTGTCGCTAAGTATGACGCCGTAATTATACCGTATGTAACGGTATTTAATCGATAAATTTGAATTGGCTTATCAGGATCCGAGCGCCATAAAATTCGTTGATAATCACGATGCCGCTCCGAAATCCAAATTTGTCGGTACATCTTTACTATGTCGGCAGAAATTACGTATTTATGTGTCCGGAATCGAGTCATAATACATATTAAATCTTCTTGGATACAAGGACCTTTACACAAAACATCGTTCAAACTCACGCCGGTGTCACTTTTGCTCGCGGCATCAAACACTACGCGCAGTTTAGTCGTCGTACTACTTTCTTTGATAACAGCGTGATGCGGTAAGTAGTTATATTGTACGTAAACATCGCGTTCTTCGTGTGGTACAATTTCCATGTGACCTAGTGATAAATATTCGTCTAAAAATGTTGTATATTCTATTTTAAGTTTATTATCGACTGCCAGTCGTCTTTCTAAACTCAAAAATCGACGTAGTGCGATATCGTATGATTTCCCTAGTTTTGACTCGTCTCGATACGGTAATGATACGATAAATCGGTTATCCAGTGCGCGTTTTGTTGTGTTTTCGAAATAAATGTTAGCAGCCTTTTCTTCAGTGGAGTAAACATTGAAATTTATTTCTTCCAAACGCCAAAACTTCGCGATTTGCTCTTCTAAATTGGAAACCATCGGACTGGAGCCACTAAACAGCGATACACATTTATTTCCATCGCGTTCGTGGCTTGATAAACTCTTTATAACTCTGTCACAAATCGCCACACTTTTGAAGTATAATTCTTCGAACTCCGACTGTATGCTTCGCTTTCTTCTGACACTCCTTTCGCTTTCTCAATTTGCGATTGTACTTAATTAAAATCTTCCCATATATCGTTAATCTTTTCTCTTCGATGAATTAGTTGTTCTAACTCGACGCTTTTGAACTCTTTGACGTAGGTACTAAAGCGCGTAAGTTGACCCTTTAGTTGGCCACGACGTGTAATTAACGCGGGTACATCCGACATTCTTTATCATCTAATGTATTTCGAACGTATATAAAATGTAAGTTTACTCTAGTTTTATTACCAATTTAAAGTCCAACCGAGTGTTGTGACTTGTATCGCGTATTTTAAACCATATTCTATACTGTACTATGTGCGCGAGAAACCACCACCGCGGGAAAGGGAATATATATAATGATATAAGAAAACTGACACTGACCTGATTTGTTCTACGAAATTCCAATCCAAACGTTGAAGTTCCTAATGCCGATAACGATGACGACGTAAATATTATATTATAAAAACTTTTAAATTATTTCATCCGGCTCGAAGGACCAAATGTTGCGTATATTAAAAAAATGCAATATTTCACATACGCCGATTTATTATAAATATAATTTCACTGGTTTAACGAGGTTCGAGGCGGCCGTGATGCCTGCACGAAATCGCGATCGGCACTAGTATACTATATAGTATGTTAATTTACGGTAGAGGCATATCACCGATGATACGCCGTAATCGAAATAATAATAATAATAACAATCGAGATTACGCACGCGACAATGGTAATTCTATACCAACCGAAAATACACCAAAGTACCTAGGCATTAAGCTTGACAGATCATTAACCTTTAAACAACATCTAGAAAGGGTCTAGAAGGGGTTAAAGACAAATTGAAAACACGAAACAATATCATCAGTAAACTGGCTGGAACAAGTTGGGGTTGTAGGGCAAACGCCCTACGAATTTCATCCTTGGCATTAGTTTACAGTGTCGCAGAATACTGCGCCCCAGTATGGACTAGGAGCACGCATACTAAAAATGTCGACACACAACTAAATCGTTCAATGAGAATTATATCAGGATGTGTCAAATCAACTAAGTTAGAATGGCTACCAGTGCTCTCACACATAGCTCCCCCAGAAGTGCGTAGGCAAGCAGCAGAGTAAAAGATGATTGAGAAAATACAAAACTCTTCAAGCCTTCCAATATATGATGACCTGTATAACGCACCAAACAAAAGATTAAAATCAAGAAATCCTATATGGACGGTAAAAAATAGTACAATCACAGAAGGGGACTTATGGAATTTACATTGGAAGGACGTAGTAGCACCAAATATCCACCTCATAAGTGATCCAACACAATTAGTTTCAGGTTTCGAATTCCCTCGTGCAACATGGACTGCCCTAAACCGCGTGAGAACTGAACAGGGAAAGTGCAATTATTTGATGCACAAGTGGGGAATGGTGGACTCTCCACTCTGTAACTGTGGCCAGATCCAAACAATTAGGCACATTGTTGAGGAATGCCCGGAAACCAAGTTCAGTGGAGGAACATCAGGTCTACATAATGGCGACAAGGAAGCGCTTGATTGGCTGTGTAATCTTTCCATACGCTTATAGCATTTAATAGTTGTCACTTTGTAGCTAGTTTATTTAATTTTTTTTTTTGCTTTTATTGATAAACATTATAGCAAAAATGTTTTTTTATTTAAAAATGTTAGTTTATTTAATTTATCTAGTTTATTTTAGTTATTTATTTATATTTACCTGTTATCACTTTTATTTTATTTTATTTTATTTATTTACTTTATTCCGTTATTACTTTTTATTGTACACCAATACCATGCCATATGCAATAAAAAAAATAAATAAATTGAAAATGTATGGATTCACTGAACCACTTCTCTCTTGGTTTTATTCTTTCATTTCCGGACGCTCCCAAATTGTAAAATATAAAAATTATGTCTCTGAACAAATTATCGTTACTTCCGGTGTCCCCCAAGGAGACCATTTATTCCCAATATTATTTTGCCTTTTTATAAATGATATATCAGATGTAATTTTTCATTCTAAAATATTATTATTAGCTGATGATGCAAAAATATTCAAAAAGATTAGTTGCACAAAAGACGCTATTGAACTACAATTAGATTTAAATAATATTTATAAATGGTGCCAGCAAAATGCTATGCACTTAAATTTAAAAAAATGTTTCTACGAGGGTGGTTCAAATATGATCGAGACAAACGCTGTAAATGACCCGCATGTATGTTTCGAAGCTCGTGGCTTGAGTATGTGATAGCTGGGTCTATTACGAACAGTGTGTCATTGTTTTCGTCGGAGCACGTGTTTTACGCGTGTGCTACGACCATGAGTGAACGTCAAGTGCCGACTACCGTTGAGCAACGTATTATCATTCGTTTTTTAGTGGGAGAAGACGTTAAAAACACGGATATTTTTGTGCGTTTGCAAAAGCAGTTCGGTGAGTGCCTGAGTAGGGCTGCCGTGTTTAAATGGGCCAAAGCATTCAAGGATGGCCGCAAAACCGTCGAGAATGAGCCGCATGATCGTCGACCGCGAACCAGCGTCACACCGGACAACATTCGCCGAGTAGAACAACTCATTTTGGAGGACCGTAGGATAAATGTTCGAGACATTTCGGCTGAAGTCGGCATCAGTATTGGTAGTGTAGAGTCTATCATCCACGAATACCTTCAATATCGCAAAATAACGGCACGATGGGTTCCTAAACTGTTGAACTTTGAGCAAAAATTCACGCGGTTGGAATTTGTCGCCGCTTACAGAAGCGATACGAGGCAGAGGGGAACGATTTTTTAACGCAAATCTTCACTATAGACGAAACATGGGTACATTATTACACTCCCGAAACCAAGGTGTCAAGTACAGAGTGGAGGAAGAAGGAAGAAGGGGCGCCAGTCAAAGCGAAGACAACCTGGTCCGCGGGTAAGGT